TAAATTATGTTATTGTCAAGATGAAGTTTGAGGTGAGGAGGATGAGGGTGAGACATATTTTGACTTAGACATAGGTATACAAGTATATATAAACATTCTTGGATATGGTTTTTTTTTTAACACTTATCTTGAGCTTAAAAATATGAAGATCTGTTGCTGGTACAACTGCCGGGCCCTCAGCAAACACTTGCCTCAACGCTGCAACAATCTTCGATCTCTATCAGAGGAAGAAAGCAGACATTCACTTTGTTGACTGTTTTTTTTTCTCAGGTACACGCCCGTGGACCCAGTCAGAAATTATTTCTTTGGTTCCTGCTATGACTGAATTATTTATATTTGATGCTTTGTGAATGGTTGTTCTTATGCTTTTCTTTTCATTTACCTCTCCCTAAACTTTCCCCTTCTACTTTTCAGTTTTATTCTTACTGACTTCCTGTTGACTCCTGTGGTCTTTTCCCTATAAAAATGTCATTTTTACTCCTTGTCTTTTCTCGGACTCCACAGGTAACTTTAAGGCAGTGTACCAGCGGGCACGAGCACACGCCGCTTTGTGCAACGAGGATGAAGCTCGGAGGGACTTTGATATGGTGGAAAGGTTGGACCCGAATTTCAAGCCCTTCGTCCACCAGGAACTGAAAAAGCTGGGTGAGAGTATCCGTGCCATGCACACCCGCCAGAATAAGACTTACTGGGACACGATGGAGGAGAAGTGGGGGCCTGGCGGAAGCAAGACCAAGAGCGCAGCAAGACAGAAGAACATCAAATTTGCACAGAAAGGCACAAAAGAAAAAGCTGAAGCAGGTAAGAAGACAGAGGGAGGTGAGCTTGAAGGGAAGAAAAACTCTGAGAAATCCACGCCTGATGAGACAGAAGTAGTGAATAATGCAGAAACAGAGAAAAATCCAGATGTGAAAGCAGAGCAATAAAGCGCTAGAGAGTGGGAGAACGAGGGAAGATGGCTTAGATAATGAAAATTTAGAGGCTGTTGTGGTTCATGTTCATGGGGATGGCCAGGGGGCACCAGATAATCAAACAACAAGGGAAGATAGTGATCCCACACCAACCAGCACAGGCAAAGATAATGTAGTGAGCAAGAGATCAGCATGTGATAAGAGCAGAAAGAAGGTCAAATGCCAATCGAATGCTGCACCAGGCCCTAGCAGAACAAGCCAAGGGGACAAAGCAACAAATGATAAGACAGGAACCGGTGGCACTCAATCTGAATAGACCAATGGGTAGAAACTGCCTTGTGCAGTGTGGAGAGACTCAGACTTTACACTGAGAAAGAAAAGCAACATGGAAGCAGAAAGTAAAACGTCTCAACAGGAAATATTGATTCTGCCACATACAAATCCAAATATAAACACTAGAAGAAAAATTAATATAAACAGCGAACATTTGGCACCACTCCGAGTTCATTTTCATTATTCGGTTCTCTGAGGGATAACTGCAGTGCATAATCTCACGGCAAGACAGGGAGTTTGGCAAGTACAAAGTTTTTATTTCTGTACACAAAGAGTAGAAAGCAGCCAGTAACCTACTTGTTATTACAGTAAAAACACCTTTCTTCAGAAAACTCTTTATACAGATTATAAACTACAGAGAAAAGACAGCAAGAGGTGTTTCAGTGCTCAATGTGAACATCAGTGTGAAATCAAAACCATTAAACAATAAACACTTGAAAGATTAATGAGGTATATTAATAGTGAGTAATGACAGGGGCTGTCAGCGTGTTGGGCGACTACATGCAGTAACAAAAGTATGGAGAACGATAGCACTGTCCTCCGGGTGAGACTCTTTCCTTGTGGAGAGCTTTTCTTCAATCACACCACAGGGTGCAAGTTGTATATTAGTGTGTATGTTGGAAATACAGGGAGGCAGTAAAAGTACAGAAATTTAGAGGGATGTAACGATTCTGAACCAAAAACCAGGATACAATACAAAAATTGTGATACAGAAGACAAAACCAAAAACTTGTTCACTATTCTGGTCTTTAGTGGTCCAAATTCTGGAAGCGCATTGCATTCACCATGGAAAAAAAGAATTGGAGGATCTTTCTCATAATTACAAGATCAGGATTTCATAACTGTGGAATCTTTTGCTCATAATTATGAGATAATGCAGAACTTGGCTGAAAATCATCAGGTTTTAATGAATTCTTTAGTATTAATTCGATGATAGTACATCCAGAAGTGAACTGTCAATAGCTAATTCGCCACACTTGGTGTTCTGAAACATAAAACATGACAAACAGGCTTCAAAGTTGCTGCCTACAGTGTAACTCACTATATACATGTACTAATCTTCAGAACCAGCTTGAGGAACGTTGGGTTTTTAAGATTTCTTCAGTAGGCTGATTACATAATTCTGACAGCACATCTAGAAAAAAAACTGCTAATAGCTAATTTAGTGCACTTAAAATATAACCTAGGCTAAAAATGGCACCCACATTGTAACACATATCCAAGGCAACTTTATATTGCCTGTAGCCTATTTTCTGTTTTTGTCAATGTTTATATGTGTTTGCACAAGTGATAAGTATTAACGTTTAAGATTTAATGCTTTATCATAATTACGAGATACAGAGATCAGGATCTTGTAACAGGCTAAGTTACTTCAAGCTATGCAAGAAGCCAGAGGTAGGCTACCCAGGCATGTACCAGCTATAATGTTGCCCTAGATGCCCTGTGGGCTGCAGCTTGGGTGCAGTTTTCAGCCTTTCTTCTTTTCTTTTTTTTTTACATTTTGGAACACTAAGTATACCAAATGAACTATTAACAGTTCATTTTTGCTAAGTGCTATTGTATGTACTGACAGAATTATATCAATACTGAGGAAATGTTAGTACATGTACTGAGCTGCACTGTAGGCAGCAACTTTCAGGCCATTTTTACCCAACATCTTGTTTTGGAAAACTAAGTATGCCAAATTAGTTGTTAACACTTTGGATGTACTGACAACTATTGCTGAAGTACTTTGATAAGAAGAATTTGTTAAAACCTGATGATTTTCAGGCAGCTTCTGCAGCATTCCAACATCTGCATTATCTTATAATTACAAGAAAAAGATCTCAAAATTATGAGGCACTAAGTCATAACTACAAGATCCTAATCTCAAAACAAAACAAAAAGGCAAGATATTAAATGAACAGTGGTTGAAAAATGAACCAAACTGTGGATTTGGAGAACCGTTGTATCCCTAGAAATTTGTATATGGACGACCATCGGTCGATTTAGACACTCAAAACAGCAGCAGAATTAAATGTGGGGACAGAGTCTGTATAATATTTTAACTCTGTCATTTATCCATAGAGTGTATTTATTTCAATTTGCCTCCTCTAAAAGTAAACACAACAAATTCTGACATGCAGCCCTATGGGTAAGAGCCTCTTCTGGTTTCTCCACACACTGTCAATGTTACATCATTTTGTGTACCCACATAAAAAAAAAGCTATATAATAAGAGATAAGAGTGTCAGGGCACTGGGTGATCAGTGTGTAATGAGCTGTGTGAATTCCAATAAATAAACATCTATGAATAAACACATCTTGTCATGGCATTTTTTTTCCTCCTACGAGCTGAGCTGCTCCTCTTTGTTCTGATTTGGGAGTTTTAACAGAAAATTCTTAACCAATGTTGGCGCGGAGATGGAATCAACAACTGAACTATCTTCAGAGGCTAATCTGGCAGGCTGGAGTAGAGGTGGAAGTGAAGAAGAGGAGAGCTGTGTTTGGGGAAACAAGGCTCATGCTCTTGCTTCCTTTAAGGCTATTAGCATTTGTATTATGAACAGCACATCACCTTTCCAACTCACAAACCTGTGGAACTGTGTCCTTGGGGACAGTTCCCTAGCAACAGTATCAAAACTAACAGGCACCGAGTGCTGAGGAGGATGGGTGTTAAATGGGAGCATTATGTGCCTGGAGGAGGGGGTACCTGTAATGAATTCAGCCCATTAATTTCAAGCTAATATATGAGGTCAGAGTGCTGTTGAATTTTGAACCGTATCTGTCCTGTCTGTGCGAATGAGGTGGAATGATTGCTGAGAAACAGTCACAGCTTACTTGTTTCAGGCAACTTCTTGTCCTTTTTCTGGGGATTTCGCTGTGACAGGCACATCAAAGTAGATCTCTCCCACCAGCCACTCAGTTCTCCCCCCATCTTTCTTGTTTCTCATATCCTCCATCCCTCAACGTACCGGTGCTCACGCGCCATCATCCACACTGCTCCATTCTTCCTGTTAATTAACCATCGGACACTGATACACAAACACTCCTGATGAAACCATCTTCCCTGAAAATAAAAAACAAAAACTCATACTCATTTAACATGGTTTTGGTTTGGTTTTAAGGCATTAACTGACTATGTTTAGAACAGAACACACCCTACACCCCTGGTAAGATTCAACCGCTCGTCCCTTTATAAATCTAAAAGCAATTAAGCATTAGCAAGGGAAGTGGAGCACACAGTCAATAACCACTGTTCTTTTCAACGGGGAGAGCAGGGCTTTTTAAGCATCAAGTCTGTGTAGGACTGTTCAAGCTCCTTCCTTCAATTTCTTTACATATAGCAGGGGATCACCAGCGCGGCTGCCTGCATGCTGATATTTATCGGCCGACATTTCCTCAGCAAAACCCAATTTCGGTCTCAATACAAACTGACTCAAACTAGTTTGTCTGAATCCTGTGAACCAAAGAGATGAAATGAATCTCCATTTTTATTAAAGTCTATTTTTAGTAGTGTAGCACAGCACATATTATTGATCACGTAGGGAGACATTTGTGTATTTGTGCACAATGGAGAGAGCATTATAAACAGGGAGTATGGATGTAGCAGCATACGTGTGTGTATGTGAATGTGTATAGTGAGCGCAAACGCTTCTGTACGAGGGTGAAGGGCTCACTTAGAAGAGGCAAGCAATGAGAGCGACAAGCAGTTTGGGAGGAATAGCAGAACACAGTGAGTGTGCTGTGCTAGTGGGCACTTTGGCTGTCTTAAATAAATGATGGCTTTAACTGATGATGTGTCATTCTCACAAAGTAAATAAGCTCGTCGTGGGTGCTGTCAACTCCCTCAAAATCTGCACCACCCAGCCACATGTAAATGTCAGCCCAGCCCTGATCTAGTTTACACTAGCATGCTTTAACTCTTCACCTTCCCTTCAAAAGACAACAATAATAACAGCATTCAGGGAGAAAAACCACACTGAAGGTACAGCCATTCTGACAAAACAAGGGGATATTGTTCTTATTCCTACTTGCATTATTTTCAAAGTTATTTTCATGGAAGGTCCAATTTGTGCTATGGCCTGATATAAAGCTTCACACCTCTGAACAACTACACAGATACTGGTAAACACAGTGTCTTGTCTGGGCATTTTCCTTTACTTCAGTCTCTCCCTGACCTGTTGCCAACATTAGTTTCCTTTGGCTCGTTAACTCGTGTCAGGCTGTGCTACTGAAGTTATCAAGCTCAGCCTGGCCAAACGGACATCAGCGTCAGCCTTCAGCAGTCTGCATGAAAAAGGCTTTTAGTGCACAAAGTTCCAGTGGAGTGTTAGCTCTGGGTATCATAGCTGCTGCAGTGGTCACACGGCCCGGTGCGCTATGGCCTGACCTCAGCTGCACGGAGCTCCTCCCTCTGCCATCAGGCTTTCACTCTGCTCCTCTAGGCCCACTCAGAGTTAGATGTGTGAGGTGGTGCCTGAAATTAAGAATTAAAATAAGAGGGAAAAAGGAAAAGCTCTTACAATTTTAGAAACGCATGCACAAGACTCAGAAAATGTTCACCGGCTATAAGTAAGAAGACTGTAATTATGATAATCCCTTTCTTTGTTCAAGTTACAGGCTTTGGACTGCCCAGAAGATTGTGTTTTAAACACAGCGACGTGTGTGACATGACACTCACTTTGTCTCTGTGCTACTGTCTCTCTCTCTCTCTCTCTCTCTCTCTCTTGATCTTATTCCTCTTTGCTGCCATTTAATCGCCCTGTCCCTCCCCTAAGTATCGACCTGCAGCAGTACATATTTGCACTCTTCTCCCTCGGGTGATGGACACATCTGTCTCTGAAGCGTGCGGTGCTAAAGATGAGACAAACTCACCCGGTTCTGAAGGGAAGACGTTTCTCAGCTGCTCGATGACCTCCTGGAGCTGCAGCACCGTGTCCTGCTCGTGCTCCGTGTCATCTCCTGACACACACACAAAGAAAATTTTACACCTTTATGTATGAATAAGGGTGGGTTGGGAGGAAAAAAAAAATCAGGGTTTCAACATGCGTGCATACATCAAGTCCACATCTGAGCCTGGCTGCATGTTGCTAACCTGCTGCTTCAGTGTCGGTGGTCTCTCTGCTGGCCGGCTCCCCGTGGTGACACCCTCCAGACACAGGAGAAGACAGGGTTGATGGTTCTGATCCGTTGGCCTCCGAATCATCTTTGGGCTGGTTTTAGGAAAGACCGATGATTACTCAATGTAAATAACTGCTCATATCCAACATGTTTCAGATCTTAAAGTCATTTCGACTTTCACACAGTAATGATTGTGATGGTTAGCGACACAAGTTCGCAACTTGCAAGTCCTGGAAGTAATATTTTAAAAAGGCAATTTTACCTGACAGCTGTTAGGCAAAACCATCAGGTTACCGTGATTTGTGCTTTGATAGACAGATAAAAGGAAAGAGAATGGGCCTGCACACAGCAACACTGCTGAAAACGCTAACAGAGGTGGAGGGATGTCTCAAACGACAAAGATGCATAATGTAACTCTTGAGGAGATTATATGCCACCTGTCATCTTTTGTATTGTTTTTAACAACACTTTAGCAATACTCAAGCGGTAAGTTCAGTAGCTGCAGTGAAACCGAGGTGTCTACAGAGATTGGGAGGAATTCATACACACACTTCCATAAACTACAAAGGCAGATTCAAGAGATTTTTCTGTTTCACTTTTTGAGGAAATGAAACTGTGATATTGGTCTAGGGAGAAATGGATTATATGAATGTGTATCACATTGTTTTTTTCTTTTACCCAGACATGTACCAGCTCCTTCACAGCAACCCCTCAGTCTCAGTTTCCAAGTCTTAACCTGAAGACTGTCTTTCTCCTGGTGTTGCTCACTCCCTTTGCTTTCTCTTAATTCACTGACCTGCATGTGCACTTGGGATCTGTACTCCATAACAATTTGCACTTTTTTATTATAGTAACTCTGTGCATCAGCTCCCACTCTCCTATTCATCTCTCTCACCTCTCCAGTTGACTGTGGTAAATCCTTTTATGTTATGCTCCAGAGTGTCTTCATGCTTATTCTCTACCCAGACTGTTTTTTTTTTTTTTTTTTTTGGGGGGGGGGGGGGTACTTCCACTACTGGTTTTTCTGTCTTACCATATCAAATCTTCAAAGTCCAAATTTGACATTTTCACAGTAGCTGTCATTGCATATTTTTCATATACACCTTCTTTGCCTTTTTGTACTTTTTTGTAAGACTATGTGAAGCACTGTGATACCTGATGTATGCACTGTGATACCTGATGTATGCACTGTGATGCACAGAAGTGTTGCAAGAACAGGATCTTGTTGGGATTGCCAAAAAGTACACTCCTGGAATAAAGCTGTGTGCACCATCTCCACCTTAACACACAAAAATGCTGAAATTCTGATTGATTCAATATGCTAAGCTTGCATAACCTTGAGACTGTTGGTCAGTGCGCTGTAGGACCAGCTTTACAATAATAAATGAATAATGAATACATATTTTCTTGGGTTTTAATGGAGCAGTTCTTTCCAGTAAATTCTTCTGGAAATCAATGATAAATTGAGCACAGCCTACTGAACAAACACTTTCAGGACCCTATTCTAATTACATTTGTCTAATTAAGTACCTGTACATACTATAATTCTTTCCAGTAAGCTTTCAAGAAGTTCTTTAAAAATGTTTAACAGACCTGTAAAATAAAGTGTCACTAAAATTATCATAGAGGATGATCAAATATTTTAATGTAGTGAAGTTAAAAGTATTTCCCAAAGACATGTAGTAATACTAAAGTAGAATGCAGGTACTGAAAACTGCACTTAAGTACAGAACTTTAGTAAATGTATTTACACTACTGCTCAACTCTCTCCAGAACACCTTGTCACCATGCCCCTCACACAGGTGTACCTGTAGCAGTAGCTCCCTGAGCCTGCGCAGCTGGGACTCCAGCTGTTTGTTGTGGTCCTCCAGGATCTGCATGCGGGTCTCCAGGCGCGTCTTGTGTTGTCGGAGGACCCGTGCCTCAGCCAGGAGCTCTTCATCCTGCTGCCCTCCTGCTGTAGGTGAACCCAGGCCACCCTCTCCGGCCTCAGTCAGCATGGGAACTGACACTGCCTCTTCATGCTTCCACTTGAGCCTCCTGTACTCTCCCTGCAGCACCCTGTGGACCCACAGTGAAGGACAGATGGAGAGCAAACAATTAGATCCACAAGTTGCTGCAGCATAGACCAGAAATGCACTGACACAATCTGACTTGTGTTAATGAATTACATTAGAATAATTTCGCTACACAAAAAACAGTGCATCAGGGGGCAAAGGTACTGTCGAGAGAGTATCTTACCACATGGAGCACAATCATCTTCATGTTGAATTCTGTAATAAATCAAATCCTCCCATCTCTTACATGTGCGACACTGAGGCCATTATCTGACTGTGCACTGTAGCATTACTAGAAGTGCTATAATTTATTTATCTGATGGAAAATTGTTATTGTATATTGTATTCCAAAATGAAAAAAAGTCTTTTTTATGTATCATTTAAAATGTATTCTGAAATTATTAGCTTGTGTACTCACACACACACACAGATAAATGGATAGATATACAGAAAGAGAGTGAGTGTGTAATGCATTTTCTGTAACAAATGTCTGAAACAAGTCATAATGTTCAATCATTGATCATGTTTATAAGAAATTCTCATGAAATTAGGAAAAGGCCTTGAAATTGCAAGCTGAGCAAACAAAGTTCATTTTAAGCTGGTACACAGCGACTGCATTCTTCAGGACCCCCAAAACAAGTTTACGGTTAAAGGTGTTTAATTCTGCTATTGATTTATTCTTCAGCTATGAGCCACCAGAGAGTCACAGGAGAGGATATAAAGTAAGCCAGAGCAGCCACTCTAGTCATAAATAAGGACAATAACTCACAGTGCAGTGTCATAACAGGAGACATGCTTTGAACTGGGGCAAGGTTTCAGACACCCAAAGGACAAGTGTATGTGTGTGTGTGTGTGTGTGTGTGTGTATGTCGCTGTGTGTCTGGAAAGGTCACAACTTGAAGATGAGAGAAAATTATTCATGAGTAATTTGCATAAATATTGCCTTAATATTTTAACCCCATTTATGAAAATTATCAAATTCTCTTACTGTAGCTTCTAGGGTGCAACAAATTCAAGCATTAACATTTCAGTGTGTTTCAGAGATGTTTTGTGCTTGTATCACACCAGCCAATTCATAATGAACTCTTCCTGTTGTATCTGCAGGAAAACAACAAACTAATGCATGCTTTAGTTTCCATCCCCATATTATTTCACAAGTTTTACTTTGCCCAAAGAAAATGTTTCTTGTTAAGCTGTTCAGTTGGATTTAGAGTGTGAAAGTGTTCTCTCTGCAGGAGGTCTGCAAATAGCTGCAAACATAGCAAATGCCTACAAGTAAACGCAAATATTTGTGGTATTATGCTTCTGGGGAGCTTTACTGATGAAAATCTCTCCTCAAAGCAAACTCCTACATATCTGCTACAAGCTTTATCCCAGACATTAATCTAAACCTCATTCAATTTTATAACCAAATCCAATTCAACACAGTTCTCAATGCTAACAAAAATAGCAAGTTTTATGAATGTGATGAAGTTGGTGGATTTTGTTGTCATACAGCAGTGTGTGTACTCAGTGTGGTTCAAAGGGATTTACTATGCATGAAAGGAAACACTCAGTAATGTCTCCACCACCTGAACAAATGAAGAAAGGAGCCTCGCTCCCAGCTCCAGACTGGCTACAGACCTGTTCTCATTCTCGAGGCGAGTCAGGGTGCGCTGGAGCTGTTCCTTGTCCTGGTGCTCCAGGTGAGCCAGCAGTATGTGCTGTCCACAGGGTGAGTCATGGTCCAGGGCTGGGCTGGAGTGACGCAGGAGGTACTGATCTTCATCCCTGAGTCCCCCACACAGGAGACAGCACACTGAGCCACCAGCACACAGCCACCAGCAGCACAAAGCAGAGCCAAGGGCGGCATGGGAGAGTAGACAGGCCAAAGCAAGGCAAGGCAAGCATGACAAGGAAATGTATTACAGGATGAGACACGATGAAACAGGACTGGACACAGTGGAATGGGTCTCTATGACAGCTGAGCTGTCCCAGGTTTACAGTCCAAAGAATAAATATTCTGTAGTAATAGTAGTAGTCCTGGCTCACTGCAAATAGAAATCCACTCACATTTATAAGTGGAAGGTGGATCTTAAGATATAAGACAGCATATTGGCCAAACAGTAAATGCTTTATTGATAATGGAACAAAAACCTAATGTGTAAATCTATAATAATAAAACTATGGCTGTTAATCAGCAAATGCATCTACAAATACTTGGCAGTTATTTTACTGGAAAGACAACTATTTGTCAATTTATATATTGTAATAATGCTTTAGGCTACAAAACAAACTACTTTATGGAGCCAACGTTAAAAGCAATTGATAATCTTTGCATTGTAGTGATAAATTATCTACTGCTGAAGAATTTATAGGCCTAGTTTAAACAGACGGTTTTTACCTAGAGATGACCAGGACAACTCTACTACTGTAAGATCTGTCATTTAGGAGGTCTCACTTAACCTTTAGATGGTAAATGAGAAAGAATTAAGTTTTCATATTATTAACATCCTAATTATTTTCAAGTCCATTACCTAGTGGTAAGCCGCAACACTGAACTCAGAACAATGCATACATGTGGAGCATGAAAGCTGCACACATAAGCAGCATGGTTCAGGTCAGAAAACAATATGATGCCAGCGAAACGCCAGCTGGAGGCACAAGCAGCACAGCAGCATGTACAGAACCATGCAGCAGAAAGCACAGCGAGGCACTGACAGACAGAAGGACAGGTTCATAGAATAGGAGCAGCAAGAAACAAGAGCACAAGAGCAGGAAACAGCACCACTACACACAAAGGGGTAGGGGGTGAAGTGCCATGCATGCAAACACCCTTGCAGGCATAGAATTATATATAGACAAAGATGCAAACACCATGTGCTGATAAGCACACATTTTTGCTCTAAGCGACCCTCTAGATACATGCACATGGCAACAAAAACACTGGGAGTGGGCTTGAGAAGCACAGATGTCAGTAGTAAAAAGTGCTGCAGTGCTGCGAAGTAGTGTAGTTTTGTCTAAGCCTAAAACTAGCTTTTAATGCAGTGTCAATCACAGATTTCTCTCAGAACAGACACAAAAAACTCATGTGAAAAGAAATAATGAGCACACTTATCAACAGACACACAGAGGCACACACTTGGAGCCCTAAACGACCAGACAGCAGAGCTGCTGGGCATAAAACTGTGGCTTTAAAGGACAATTTAAAAAAAAAAAGGAAAACTAATGTGAAGAAGAAGGAAACAGTTGACAGCCCACACAGATGCTAACTAAATAAGACACAAACACACACACACACACACACACACACGCTACATGATCTCAAACAAACACAAACAATTCTCTCCACCTGGCACTTTCTCAGCTTTCCACAACGAGGACTCGCCTGTTGGCTGCCTTATTCACATTAAACATCTCTATTTCTCTCACTGCTGTAACCCGACCACCACACTGTCACTCAGCCAGCTTCTACAAACACAAACTCCTCAGTGGGGCTTTGTGTATCTACCCACAGCAACAGACTTTAATCACAGCAGGCATGTGCAGATGAAAGGAGACTGTGTGCACGCAACTCGCTGTGGGTCATTCTCATTATGGAGCTATTATTTATGTGATTACACAGTCTTTACCTAACACTGGAACATACACATACAATTAATGCATCAAGGGGAAAAGGGTGTACACAAAACTCACACATGATCCATGTGAAAGGCTGTGGTTGTAATGAGGGGGTTCGTGGTGTGGGGGTGGAAGCATACTCACAGACTTTCATCAGGAGACAGGCTATCTGTGAAGAATGAACAATTTTGGCTCTCCATTTCTGCGAGTCTACATATACACACACACCAGAGACAGCAAGTGAAGCCCACACACAGGTATACAAACACACGCACAGAAAAGAAATACAATAGATATTATCACACACTGGGGAAATACATGAGATGAAGCAAACAATCAGTACAGTTTAACTTTTAAATAGTGTGAAAAAGACCTCTGGCCTTTTAATACCGTGGATAGCAACTGAACAGCAAGCTGTCCAGAAACATCTGACTGACAAGACTGCAGAGTGGCAGAAATTCCATTAGCCACAGATCACAAGTTATAAAAATGTCCACCAGGAGGGAGGACAAAACCCTGATAAAATATTGCCCAATGTCTACAAGCATGCAGGCAATAAAACCCCTTCCATGAATGTGTTGCTGCCCAGCACCATGGACAGCGTCATGTGCGTTTGAGTGTCGGAGGCAGCGAGGGAGCTGCTGTGTGGATTTTCAGGACCAAGGACAGTGCTCATAGTTCTGCATTACTGTCAGCGGCCAGACGCACTGCACTCGCTGCTCTGCAAACTGTCCCACTACAGTAAATGTGCTGCCGCAAGGAAAAGCTTTGAAGTGTGTTCACAACTACGGGGTGCTTCTACTGTCTTGAAGAAAAACCAGAGCTTGAACAATCACACCGCTGTCAAAACAAACAACAAAACCTGGATACAGCAAAAAACTTTTAGCCCAGCTAAAGCATGAATGTATCATATAATACACTACATATTTAAAGGATAGTTTCATATTTTAAAAGTCTGTCTTTACCATTACCAACAATAGCCTCATTATCCCATAATGCCACCACAAAACCTTACACTGGGTGATCAAATGGTGGGTCTCTCCTTCAGGTCAGATAATTAACCAGCACAGAGAACCAAACAAGTGGTACAAATGTGCTATGAGCCTTGTGACCCGGCAGCACTCCGGGAACACACACGCCGACACCCTCCGTGCTGCATCATCTTTCACAGAGTGTCGTCAGCTGAAGGACCGAGGAACGAAGGGGGAAGGAGTGATGTAGTAGTTGTCAGGAACATCTACATTAGGTCCCATTTCTTTCCAACGACCGATAAGAACAGTGAGAAATTTAGGATTTATCCATGTCCTGTTACAGGAGGGTCTGGCCTGTGAACCTGCCTGCTCGCAATTCACCAAATAGCCTCGACAAACCTAGAGCCTCAGTCAGGGACAACAGCAAATGAGAAAGAAATAGGAAATAGTCTTGTGTTGGTGCGTCTTATTATTACATGTGTGTTTAGCATCTTCCACAATATACAGTAAATGGATGTGAGGGGGAGGGAGGGTAAGAGAGGAGAAATCCTAACAGTGTCCCAAGAGATATTTTTTATCTACTTCTTATCTGTCCTCTATAAGATGTCAAAGCTGTGCTGATGATGAAAGGAATGAACTGTGGGTAGAGCTGAGAGATACAGAAGAGACAGATGCAGTCTCAGTGTTTGACATGCCTACAAATCTCGCTTTTCTTAGCCCCAGACATCAAATATTTTATCTCCCTTGAGATGACTGGAGACTACATTATTGTCATGGATTAACAAGTACACGGCCGTTGGCTGAAGGGCACTTTGACACAAGCGCACACAAAGACTCCTACACACACCTGTCTAATATGTCATCCCATGGGAAGATATTTCAGTCACTGACCTGCCAGCAATGACACTGAGTATTTTAATATGGATTTGACTTTCTATTAGTGTTCAGAGAGAGCAGTGACTTGTAATTAATGAGAGGTATGAAGTGAAATTTAAAAAAAAGTGACTTTACATCCTGTGTTAAGTGGCTGGCAGAGAGAGAGGAAGAAAGAAAGAAAAAGAACAAGTGAAGTCAATTCTGCATGCTGCAAGAATACAGATAAAATAGTCACCACTGCCATAATAAGGACTGTCTACTCCTGTTACGCTAGTGCTCGTCATCATCCTCACATTGTTCTCTATTTCCTTGTGTCTAAATGTGCCACTGCTACTGCCAGTTTTAGCCTTTATAGTTTGTTTATGGCCAGTGGACCAATGTACTTTTGATCAATGAACTACACATGGAAAAGAGGACAAAAGAACAAAAACAATATCCAGGTAAATTACTTTCCTATCCAATTCAATGGGAAAGTGTGTCCAAATATTTGACCGGCAGTGTATTTTGGATCAAAGTGCATTTATATAGCACTTCAGAAAGTAAAACAATCTTCTCATCTTTGCTCAGCCTCTTACTGTTTTTGGCTTTTATTCAGCAAATCACACTCACACACCAGCAGCAGAAAACTACCATGCAAGGTAACCCAGCTCATCGATAGCACTGTCCTCCTCCAGACACATTGATACGTGAGCAGGAGGAGCCAGGGACTGAGTCTCCAACCCTGTGGTTACTGGGAGCTCCTGCATGAAGTGCAATTCAACACCACTAATGAAGGCTTCAATAATGAATACAGAGCTGAGCCACCAACTCTGATTTCCTCAATAAACTTTATAGACTTGTCAGTGATACAATTTAATGTAGGGCTTTTATGTTGGATTGAGCAGGTGTCTGTGTTATTGTGCATCTTTAAAAACTAAAACATAACTGTATAATATGTGAGATTTTGTACAGTGTGTGGCATTATACAGTACAGTCACTGGCAATCATCCACCCATCATTGTAACTCTCCCCTTACTTTAGCTTATAAACAGAGTAACTGACTTGCAACACATTGGAACATGCTACTGTATAATGTTGTTGTAGGCAAATATATAAACAGAGTAACTGACTTGCAACACACTGTATAATGTTGTTGTAGGCAAATATAAGGATGTTTTAAAATTCTATTAATACATTTGCAACACTGATGATAACTAAGTGGTATAAACACAGTTAATGAATGCCTGATAGGAAAGATACCTAACTATATGAACAGAATGTTAAAGCATTTATTAACGACAAATCTCTAAACATATTCTCCAAAAAGACCAAAACCAGCAACAGATTGATCTAACAAGCACTGTCCTTGGTCATAGAGCTCCATTCTTGTTCAAAAACTATTCAAAAAAAGAGCAACAACACTCAGTCAATGAGCCGTGCAGTTGCACTGGGGGACATGTTCCATCATTAGGATGAACAAGAGTATAGTTTATCATGAGCCATTTCCACGTACACCAATCCTCTGCCATTGAAAATAATCCCCAACAAATGTACTGTTTACTCCCGTTGAGTAATGTTAGCTAAAACTGACAGTAACCAGTGGTTTAATTAGCTTTTAGTCGTTAAGCAGAAACAAATGGGCTTGTAAAGTCAGTAAGTAGGGAAGGACTAACACAAAGAATACGAAAAATATTGAATATTGCCAGACCTATGCTTTAAACCTGCTTATAAATGTTTTTGAACAGCCAGTACATGCTTAAACACACTGTTCATAATATAAACACTGAATATCACCAGCCTATAAGAGGATTTATAAACAACTGACATTATAATAAGAATACAACAACTTTATACTGTAGGTTTCTGCATCAGTAAAAGATGCTTCACATGAGAAGGTAAAGAAATAATTACAATTTAACTTATATCTGTGTATAATGATATTATAGTGTGTTATAAGTTAGAAATCACAAACATTTTTACACCGGTTATAAAGACAAATAGTATGGGTCGTTTATTCTTATGTGTCCTGACATGCAAAAAGATGAAAAGCTTGCTATGAGTAAAGTTGCTATGACACTATAGAGCAAAAGTATTAGGCCATCATTAGAGAATACATTAAGAAAACAGTAATTGGCAATAAATGAGAAAATATAAGACGATGTAACAAAAAGGGATATTAAAGAATGGAGAGAAAGAAATGGTTACAAGAGGCAGAGCAAGAGAGAAAAAGGGGCAGAAATGTTTGTGTGGGTAGGAGACAATAGAAGTGAGGGATCACAGATAAGAATGAAAAAGGAAAATGGCAAACAGAAGAAAAGGAAAAAGGGAGAGATGAAAGGGGTAAAGAGGACAATTGTGCCTGCTCTTTGTTGGTGTGTATTCCCTCTGTTTTGGCAGGGTGTAAAGCAGTTGCCCCAGAGCCTCAGGGAAGTAATACACAATGGCACACTTACGGTACCAGAGCGCACACACAGTACACACTCTGCAGGTTCTGTGGAGAGGGTTGTGCTTGCCAAGCAGTGAGCAGAGCTGCCAGGGCTGCAGGAGTCCAGTGCTGTGCCCTGTTTATAACCTGTCAAACAGACACTAATCTACACAGACAGCTCCCAGGTGACCAACGGGCTCAGTGCCCTAGCAAGTGACAAGCTGCTAGGCACGCTGAACCTCGCTGACCTCCACAAACACATACAACAACCACAAGCTGCTCTGCCTGTGTTCACCAGCGTGTCTTTGTGTGGAGCGTAAGCGTGAAGGAAACTGTCGGGCGGCACAGTCTCTACCCTGGCTGGAGCACAGTGCACAATGCAGCCAAATCAATATTTCAATCAATCAGTGTGTAGTCTAAAGGGTAGCAGAGCAGAGAAGTCAGAGGAGGAAAAGAGGTGGAAGTGACTATAACAAAGAAGGGGGGTAGATTTGGTGAGCAGAAGATTTAAGAGGGAGAGATTTGTTGCAATGATTTGATATATAGCACAGCACAGAAAGCCACGTACCTGCTGGCATAATGTTCAATCCGGCTGTGTGTGTCTGCATGGGGCAGTTTAGGTGAGGAGCACGGCCTGGGAACGACAGAAGGTATTTTAACACACTGCTAGTGTGACTGTTTGGTTGCAAATAAGCAAAATCTAAACCTAACTGAGTGTTTTGCTTTGTTTTTTGAGAACATGGAAAACTTTCTTGTTAGGGTGCAAACAAAACTGGAGATTTGTTTCACAGGTGTGAGTGATTGGACCGGTCACTGGAGGGAAGTGACAGAAAGAATCAGAGTTGAGTCAGCGCCCGAGCCAAACACAAATTCATAAACGTGATTTGTGCGTCCCTTGCTAGCTGCACTAGAAAAGAGCTAACGTACAGTTGACACGTCAGCTGTTTAGGGTGACTACACATAAACAGTCCAGCAGTCAAATTCATGGGAATGACATGAGGCGAAAACTAATTTTACTTTGTCTAATCATGTTTCTCCTATTAGATATTTAACCAGAGCATTTTCCCTTCTCAAGCTGCCTAATTTAATGGTTATTTGAGTAGTGAAGGGGTCAAATTATCCTGTTTCCACCAACAAAAAAGTATAAAAAAAGTTCATATTAGCTCTGCTTTCACTAACTACATGCTGCTAATACATGCATCAGGAATAACAGCCCAATCTGAAAGGGGTTATTGTGCATTGAAGTTCAGTACACCTATATTCATACTAAACTATAAATGCATGACCTTTAGTCCTAATGAAGTACTTATATATTGCGGCATTGCTACATTTATTTACGAACAGGATCTGGATACTCGTTCCAGCACTGGAGTCTCATCTGCTCTTTGTCAGTGGATGGAAGTAAGTCAGAGTCTTGTAATGTCTGAGGTTATAAGAGGTGACCCTAACACTGATACAAAACACAGACCCATAATCAGGCTTAATATTTCTGGGTACTGCCCTGAGCTATGTTTCTTGATGATTTAATGGAGTTTTCCTTTGGGTGAGACTTGCTCATGTGAACCAGGAGTCTGACCCAGACTGGGTTCACAGGAATAACATTATGTTAATTCTGTCCCTTTAACCCATCTCAGTGAGTCAGAGTACCCAAAACTGTCAGAGCATGATAATTAACCTCCAACGGCAGGAGTTCGCGTGTGTCTAACTGAGACATTTAGATGACAGAGAAGCAGAAACAAAGATGACTGTGTTTGCGTGTGTTTATGTGTGGGACTCACGTCCCAGAGCTCTCTACTTCCAGAACAGATTGGACCGGCAGGTAACCTCTCTGAGGGTGCTTGGTGAAGTACTGCTTTGACCTGAACTTATTCTTCAGAGTCTTGGCAAAGTCCCTCATCTTCTCTCCCGAGGTTGTCTGGAGTGTGATTTAGGAGGCGAGGGAGGTGGGAGGGGTGAGAGGTGGCGATGGAGGCAGCGGGAGTAGATGGGTGGGAGACAAATTACACTGCTTAAGAATTCTGGGAAATGTTGCTCTCTCCAAAATGACCTCATCTGAAATTTGTCCACTCCTTCTCAAGGCTGGTTTGTCTTACTTTGACTTTACTAACTTATTCCTCTGACTCCTTTCTCGTCTTCCTCTCTGTACCCTTCTCTTGCTAGGTTGTTTCAAGTCTCCCCACTCCCCCACTCTCTCTGGCTCTCTATTTCCTGCTGTCTTCATCATAGCAGAAATATACGAGCGCCCACCTGCGTAGCTGTTATGAAAAAATGTAGCTAAATAATATAAAATATTGTCCAGAGAAAGAAATAAAAATTTACAGATGGCTGTTTGCCATATTTCACAGCTCAGAATTGATTAGAGATTCAATCTGGTACCATCTCAGTACACTACAGCTACAGTACTACAGCTACCCCTCTGGAATGAACTTGCAGAGACTGTGCATGCAATGGCTAAAGACTCTGGTTTTATTAGGATTTAGTGGACAGTGTGTGCTCCAAATAGCACTGTGTGTGCACTATGCAAGCTCCACAAAAAGGATGTTACTGCTGAGTCCCAGCATACTATAGATCTGGATGAGGTAGTATAAGCACACGTGTCAATATACACTCAG